CCTGTTACTCTGAACAACTTAAGCCTGAAAGTCCAAACTCTTCTTATATGCTCAATTTTCCATTTTTCCTCAACACAAACTTTACAATTTGGTGGCCACTTCAGGTTCGGGATTCAGTTTTGGTTTTTTTTTTTTGGGGGGGTATGCAGGCCTCTCACTGCTGTGGCCTCTCCCGTTGCGGAGCACAGGCTCGGGACGCGCAGGCTCAGCTGCCATGGTTCACGGGCCCAGCCGCTCCGTGGCATGTGGGATCTTCCCGGACTGGGGCACGAACCCGTGTTCCCTGCATCGGCAGGTGGACTCTCAACCACTGTGCCACTAGGGAAGCCCGGGATTCAGTTTTAATGCTTCTAACCCACCCTAATTTATATTTTAAGGAAAGCACAGATACACTGTCAAGCAGCTAGGCTGCCAAAAAAACCAGATGAAGTCAACTCTGAAATGTTGGCCCATCATGCTGGGCCTAGTGTACAGCATTATGATGCTAGCTGGATTGTTAGGGGTAAATCTTCAGTTATATTGAAAAGGTGACAATACTAAGTTTTAACAATGTTCTTACCCATCTGTGGGTCTTTTCATACATACCTACATATCACAGAGAGAAGTATGCCAAACCATGTACCCATAAAACATACGGTCAGCATAATCCAAGTAACTAATGGAGGTTTGGTTCAAATACCATACTTTGCAGGTTGTGGAGGAGACTGGTAGTCCTAACTAGATAGGCCAGCTCTGCTTCTTAAAGAGGGAGGCATATCTCTACATCGTGCAGGCAACAGTCTCTAGAAATCCGTATATTTTAAGGACACTTTAGATGAGCAATGAATACACAGGTGTTTGGCTACACACTGTACTGTTCTCCTGGGTCTGTTACAAGATGGGCATGGGAGACACTGTGATAGTGGCTCATACCTAGCTAAACCTGGAAAGCATTTCTAGCTAATAACATGTATCATAAGAAATTTTTTTTTTTGCGGTACGCGGGCCTCTCACTGTTGTGGCCTCTCCCGCTGCGGAGCACAGGCTCCGGACGCGCAGGCTCAGCAGCCATGGCTCACGGGCCCAGCCGCTCCGCAGCACGTGGGATCCTCCCGGACCGGGGCATGAACCCGTGTCCCCCACATTGGCAGGCGGACTCTCAACCACTGCGCCATCAGGGAAGCCCCTATAAGAACTTTTTATTTCACATTTTAGGTATATGATTTAAAACTTAGGAAAATGCATGAAGTTGCAATGGTTCCTCTTACTAGATGGATTTAAACTAGAGGCTGGATACACATTTACAGTGGCATCATAAAGGAGATTCAAGCATCAGTTGAGGGGGTCGGGGGATGAGATGACCATAACAGTCTCTTCTAATTATGAGAATCTAGATTTATATGAACAGTATCAAGACATACTCAATTGAATTTATACAAGTGACGCATAATCTTTACAACTCACACAACCTGAGATCTAAAGATAGGTGAAGAATTAGGAAACGAAAAAAAGTTTTTTTGATATGGGCTTTAGGTGGACGCAACAACAAGAGGCATTTGATTGGATACGTCAAATTGTTGGCTATACATGCAACAAGTGGCTTCAGCAATGACCTCTTCTGAATCGCAAAAGAATTTCTGATTAATTCTCCTGCCTCCAAGAGAGCTTAACTATTGTTATTTGTTGATTTACAAAATACCTTTTCACTTAAGAATTCTTACTAGTAGGACCCCCTTGCTAGTACTGCTGGGGGGTGGGTAGTGGGTTGATTGGGGAAGTGGGATGGTTATTGAAAGGTTAGAAATTTTTGTTACAGTTTCTATTTGATATAGGGCCATTTAATACAGTAAGATCTAGAACGACAGAACTTACACTTTCATTTATATTTCTGAATTAGCATAATATTTTCCCATATTGTGCTACTGGGGAACAGTGGAGCCAATGGTGGCATGAATGACAGTCATCCCTTCCTGCTGGCTTAATCATGTGACACTGGGACAATGAAGGTGATGAGGAAGATAAGCAATTGAGGGATCCTCCCTATATCTCTAATACATTCTCCCTCTTCTCCAGCTGGCTTAAGGGATGCTCTTCTCCACAGACTAATATTATTGCAGTTTGTCAACACTTAGTTTTCTAAATCACTATAGGATTTTAAATCAATTCTTACTTCAGATGCAAAGTAGGAACTGTAATTTTGATTAAATATTTACTAATAAATTCACAATCAAGGGAAAATAATACACGAGATGTCATCTTTATTATAATCTATAAAAAGAGAAGAAAATTATTTTGCAAAATACTACATTTTAGCATTATGTGGATATGTGTGTTTTTGCTTTTCTACTCATAAAACTGTCATTAGCTCAATGTATACTGTTTATTGGGTCTAGAAAAATCATAAATAAAGCTGTCTTTGAACTATTCTATGTGAAGTTCACAGGAGCAAGAAAATATTTTTATCAATTAAAAAAAGATTTCACCAAAAACAAACCCCCAAAACACTGTGATTCCATAGTGAAACATTTTAAGAATTCCCAAGCCTTCCCTTTTTCCTCCTTCAAAGAGGTACACAAATGAACCAAGACACATTACTGTCCAGGGTATAGTACTGGTTCAAAGGCCTATATATCTCCTTGAGGTTTTGTGCACTCTTCTTCAATCTAGAACTGTGATTTTGAATGCACAGCACAGAGAGTTGTAAAACTACCAAAATATTTCACTGCAACTGACAGGCAACTTTGCCTTGTATGGTGAACCTTCTCTTTCAAATCTGAATGTCTCATCCTCTGCCATCTAGAGCAGAGGCATCAATAAGGTGAAATTAGTGATAAAAGGTAATAATTATACACTGCAGTGATTGATGGATAAATTGAGAAGTCATAACTGACCCTACCCTGAATCCTGGCTTTCCTACTTATTCACTGTATGACTTGGGCTACATAATTTTAACCTTCTGGGCCTCAGATTCCATACCTATAAAACAGGAATAATAACAGTAGTTACCTCAAAGGGGTACTGTAAGGCTTAAAAAAATACATGCAAAGCCCTCAGTACAATACCTGGCACACAGTAAGTGCTCAATAAACGTTGACTGTTTTTACTATTATTTCTGTAAACTGAGCAGAGAACCTGTAAAATATCAAGAGTTCCAAAGCCCATCTCACAGAGCAGCAAGGGGTTCTGTCCAGAGCAACTTGAGTATTAACACCTTTTAATTTTGGCCGTGGGCTATGATATCATCTAGATCTGTGCCACTAGCCACCAAGGAGCCCTTGAACTGTGCCTAGTCAGAACTGAGATGTGCTGTTAGTGTAAGATGCACATCAGATTTCGAAGACTTAATATGAAGAAAAAGAGAATGAAGAATATCTCGATTTTAAAATGTCTGATTATGTATCGAAACGATAATATTTTATTTTTTATCTTTGGCCACACCGCGCGGCTTGTGGGATCTTAGTTCCCCAGACCAGGTATGGAACCGGGGCCCTTGGCAGCGAGACCTCGGAGTCCTAACCACTGGACAGCCAGGGAAATCCCGAAATGGCAATATTTTAGACATCCTGGGTTAAATGAAACTTTAAAATTAATTTCATGTTTCTTTTCTTTTTTCTTTCTTTTTTTAAAACGTGGCTCTCATTAAATCTGCACTCAGAGCTGATGGCGAGCTTGTCAAACTGCAGATTCTCAGGACCGCCCAGACCTACACAATCAGCATCAGCGCTTCAGTATGATTCTGAGGTGGTTCTCACGCACTGCTCCAGTGTTCCTCTGTTGAGCTTACTCTGGAGGACAAACCTGGCCCTACAGTTACATAAATGCGAATACCCTGGCTTTAAGTAAGTGCTCACCGAAAAAGAAAAGTGGAGGAGAAAGCGGCGGTAGGGAAGGAGTGAGGTAGAAAGAAAAAGAAACTCCAAGTAGAGGAACAAAAAGATGCAGGAAGGGGAGAAATCCAACCTGGGAGATTCAGTGGAAGGGAACTTCCAGACTTCTGCCTCCATAAATGTGGAGAGAGATACAAACTGAGGTAAAATCTACCATCCAAACCTGTAAGGACCAGGAAATCGTCAGTCAATTCAAGTCTTACCCGCCCCTCAGCGGCCTCAGCTAAGCGAGGCCTGGGCCCGAGAGATCTGAGGACGGTAACCACCATCCGCCCCAGGGCTCGACGGTTCGCCGGGGAGTCTCCCGCTCTCTCCCCCAAGGCCCGGTTGCCCAAGACACGCAGCGCGTTTCTCGGCACTCACCTGCCTCGGAGCGGCTCCAACGGCCTGCACCTTTACCACAGCCACCTTCGAGTCCTTCTGCAGAGAGCCCGCCCCCTCTGGGCCAGGGGCTGTTCCCATTGGCCAGGCCGCTCGTCAGTCTCGGAGGCTCTCGGACTCCCCGAGGCTGTAGGGAACGCCATAGCAACCGAACATGGAACTACATCTCCCGGCATGCTCTAAGGCGATGCACTAGGGGCTACCAATAAATGCGCGAAGTCCTAGTTGCCGAAGGGTTCAGTTTTATGCAAATATCAGTTAAAGACCACACCCTTCCTCATTCCAACCGTATCCCCATCATCTTCTTTGGACTGTGCCCCGCCTTCCTTTTGCCTCCACATTGTTCTTTCCTTTAACACTTTCCGTTAGTTAGCTGAATGCATCCTAACTAGTGTCTCGCCTCGCACGGCAACGGAGAAATGCACCGAAATCGTGGAACAAAATATGCCTAAGCCCCGTCAGGAATATCCCAGACCTGACGTCTCTAGTTACGCCTTCAGGAAAGGGGGTGGGGAGGAAGGAGAGCCCAGGTCACGCCCCCTTTGAACTTGCTGATTGGTTTATTCGGCTGTCACTCCGTCCTCTTTCATTTTTTTTCAGCTGCCCCTCCTTTGGTTCCCCGCGGTGGGCGGGGCTAGATGTAGGGGGCGGTGAGGAGGTGTAGGCCCCTTCTTTCGATTGGTAGATTTTTTGTCCCCACCCACCCGGGGGCGGAGATGGAGGGGTGGATGGGAGCAGGGGAGGCAGCTGAGGGAGATGAGGAGATAGGCGGGAGCGAGGGAGCGAAGGAGGTAGAGAAGAGCGGAGGAGAGGGGAGGGAGTGCAGCTTGGTTGCTCCGTAGTACGGCGGCTCGCAAGGGAGAATCCCGAGCGGGCTCCGGGACGTACGGAGAGGCGGGCGGGCGGGGATGGTGTGCAGGGCTGCGGCTCCTGCGTTCCCTCCCGCTGCGAGTGAGCTGCACTGATTTGTCCCTGGGGCGGCAGCGTGGACCCGCCTGGAGATGAGGTGAGTAGCGGGCTGGACCGCGGCGGCCTGGACCGGGAAGGCGGCAGGGGCGGGGGTCGGCGCGGGGGTCGGCGCGATGGCCGCCTGGGGCGCCCGTTCCCCGGGCCGGTGCGCGTCCCTCCGGGCGCCCTTCACCCTTTGCCGCACGGTCGGGAGGCGCGGCACCCGCAGACCCTGTGCCTCGTCCATCCTATTCTCCCGGGGGCTGCGGTGGGGCGGCCGGCTGGCGGGCGCCGGGAGGCCAGGGCTCCGCGGCGGACTGAGGGGGTGGCGGCTACGGGACGGGCTTCGGGTTGAATGGGCGTCTGCAGCCGTGGATGGCGAGCGGGGTCCCTCCTTCCTCAGGGGGGACGTGGGGCGGTCGGTCCTTCCAGGGCTGACCTCGCTGTCCTCGGCCGCCTAAGCCTGGCGGGCTGGCCAAGCCTCGCTTCCCCGCCAGCCTCCCGGGGATCCGGAGCTCGCGGGGAGCGGCGTCGCGCCTCCCGCCTTTCTCCCCCGGCCTTGAGTCCCCGGCTCATCCCTTTTTCTCTCTCCTGTGCCTTCAAAATCCCTGTCAGTGAAGGACAGTCAATGCCGTTTGGCCCTGAGTCCTCCTGCTGGGGCTGTCTCTGATGGTATTTAACGGAAAGCGGCTCTCCTTTCAGTGGGAGCGCGTCCCCGGTGTCTGCCGTTCCCCGGTGTCTGCCGTTCCCCTTCCTTTCTTTACGCACAAACACGGCTTTACGGTGTGGACCGAAGGCACAATTACCGGCTCTTGCTTGAACGAGGAAATGTAATCAGAATCCCCAGGAAAAGGAAACCAACGAGGAATGGGTTGCGCCTTCCTTTACTCCTTGTTTGCCTTTGGATTAGAAGGCAACTTCGTAGATTATATTTCCTATAGACATCTTTTGTTGTGATTCAGACTAAAGGCGTTGCTTTTGAAGAAATAAATTAGCGGCTTCTATGTTGAGTTGAAGGCTATGGAGATTTTTGATGGCCTCTTAATATGAAAGTTTCCTTTAGAACTTTGCCATCATCATTGCTATTCTGAAGGCAGCACCAGCCTGAAATTTTAAATACATGCAGACTCCGGACAGTTGCGTTTCTTTGTGCTTATCTGCTGGCATCCTACTCTTAATGTTTCCGTGGTTGGAACGTATAGATAATAAAAACAAGTACAATAAAAAGTATAGATACTAAAAACAAATACTATACCAAAAAATGCATCTGGAAAATCTCAGTTCTGTCAACGGGGAGGCAGTTTTTACTAATCCCTTTGAAAGGATGAAGACCAGGCTCAGAGATCTCATGGATTATGTGGTGGACAGGATCTGAGGGAAGGAACTGGGGCCATGGATCCAGCAGGCCAGCTGGTTTATGTAGTGCTACTCTTAACCTCTGAAATAGGAGGAATGTATTTGTTGGGATACCTTTATTTTTAGATGACTTAAGGTGCAGAAGCTTAAACGCCCCCAAAGTTATGATTTCTACCTGTCACTGAGAACAAAATACTATGTGTTTTTGTTCTCAAATTTTTAATAGTTTACTTGAAACATTTATGTTGTTTTGATGGTTGTTTGCTTATTACTAAAGAAAAAACCATTTTAAAATATTGAGTTCTTTCTGTAGGAGGTTTGTAAAGAACCCAGAAACTTTACGTAGTCTAAATTGAGAAATGAGGGACACTAATTTAGTGATGGTTTAAAAACTATTTAAAACTTCTTTAAGTAGCTTCAGTAAGGAGCATTTCTGATACAACTTTTTTTTAAAGGCCATTTCTTTATCTAAGAATGTTATCTATTGAAATTGCTGAGGCACATGGTACCTTCACAAAACTCTATTATTATTCTGCCTGAGTAAGAGAGGAAATGAACAAATTTTTGATGTACTTTGGAACCCTGTGGATTGTTCAGATACTAAGCATTGTGAAATAGGGCATAAAATGAGTGGTAGCAAGTTAGTTCCCTGAAATGTTTGTCTCTCTTAGCTAATTTTCTTTTTTGCAGTTGACTAGCAATTTCCTTTTTCTTAATGCTTATCCCTAATATTGGTAGTAAAATTCTGCTTAGGTTCATGTTTTCCCCAAATAACTAGATTAAGGCAAACTCAAATCTATAATGGGGGTTAAGAAGGCGGTGCTGGTAAATCCCCCTACTCTTACTCAGCTTTTTTTTTTTTTTTTTTTTTTTTCCGGTACGCGGGCCTCTCACTGTTGCGGCCTCTCCCGTTGCGGAGCACAGGCTCCAGACGTGCAGGCTCAGCGGCCATGGCTCACGGGCCCAGCCGCTCCGTGGCACGTGGGATCTTCCCGAACCGGGGCACGACCCCGTGTCCCGTGCATCGGCAGGCGGACTCCCAACCACTGCGCCACCAGGGAAGCCCTTACTCAGCTTTTTAATTTGCTAGATTTGTGAATTATAGGGAATTAATTACAGGTCGGTTGGGTTTATATTACTCAGTTCACATTCCACTGCCATAGAGTTTTTCTATTCTGAATGATCATTCTCTTCTGAATGGTTCCACTTACTGACGGGTTTCTCAAAGTCTGGACCTCAGAACACTTATATCAGCATTGCCTGAGGTTCTTGCTAGAAATACAGACTCCTGGAATCTGATTTCCAGCAAGTCCTCCAGGAAGTTTTCTTGCACAGTAGCGTTGGAGAACCACTGACATTGTGCTTCCTTCTCACTGAGCGTGTCCTAAGACCATGTTTTGAAGAGGATAGCAAGTTTTTTCAAGAGACAATAACTTTTATCCCTTAGGCTGCTAATAAAAAACTATGACATTCAGGTATGTGACACACCTATAATATAAATTTCAGAAGGGCAGAGACTTTGGTTCATCATTGTACCTCCAGTGCCTAGAAGAGTGCCTGGAGGAGCTTCATGAAGCACTTGAGTGAATTACATCACAGTGAGGCCACGTCTTTAAATCTTTACTTGTAAAGTTAATCTTATCACTTTGTAGTCATTGATTTTAAGCTTGGAGCCGCAAGTACTGTACCCCAGTCATTTCTGTAAGTTTGGTTGGCTCTGAAAGGAGAGAACCTTTCCCAAGCTTAGACTGCTCAAGGCGATAAGCTGGAAAGAAGGCTCCTAGCAAAATGTTTGCTTAGACTCAAAATATAAATTTAAGTCACAGTATAGTGGTAAATTACTATGTTATCACTACATTAAAATGCCATTTTATAAGCTATGATAAGCCCAACATAATGCAATAAAAATTGGTTTCCAAAAAATGTAGAAAACTGGTATGTTTTCTGATTTTATTTTTCATCCTCGTAACATATGACCTTCATTCCTTTTTTTCAGAGTCCAGCACAGGACTCAGTCCCATAAATAACAGCTTCTGTTGTGTAGTTGAGGGGATGGATAGTTAAGAGTGCAACATCTAGAGAATATTGGGTTTGACCACACATAGTCTGTGGCTTTGATCTAGTCACCTAACCTCTCAGTGCCTCAGGTTTCTCAGCTGAAAATGGGAATAGTTGTAGTAAAATTTAATACTTCTAAGTGCTTGCTTAAGTTCTTCAGATACATTCATTTAATAAATGGTAGTTACGATGATCATAAAAAGTTGAGGTATATAAAAATATATGAAACTCTAGCTAGTCTGCTCAGTTTTTGTACTACTGTACTTTATGGTAGTAAATAGAAATCCATTGCTTAAAAAAGAAGTCCCTTGCTAATTTCTTGCACTAAATATGTATAATTTTAAAATTATAACAATAACTAAACATTAAAAGTATTTAATAAAACATCAAGTTCTATGCAAATTTTTTTTCTAAATAAAGATAAACCTGTCGTCACTTTCAACTTAATAGTATTATTTCAGAAAGAAACTAATAATCAGTTTAGATAATCCCTTGTATTTTAAAGAATCACATGTTTATGGTAGAACAATTGAAATACAGAACAGCAAAAAGTAGAAAACGATAAAATACTTAGAGGTCCACTGCCTGAATACATTTCTCTCCAGACCCTTTTTCTGTGTGCATGTGGCTATTTATATACAGTTTTTGGTAGCAAATATGGGATCCTGCTATACATGATTGTTTTGTAACCTGTACTTTTTTTCTTAACATCTTACGTGAATCTTTTCGTGTCTGTATAGTCAGTTATAATAGTAGTTGAATAATATTCCATTTTATGGGTCTGTGATAATTTAACCAATTTGTTTTTATTAAACATTAGTTTATTTTTTTCCCACCACTATAATCAGTATCTCTGCAATGACTATCCTCCATGCATCTCTGTGTATACTTTTGAGATTTTTTTTCCTTAGGATAAATTTCTAGAGGTGTGATTGCAGGATCAAAGTGCATGCTATGGTTTAAGAGTTTTTGATACATATTTCCAGTTTGTCATTTTGAAAGGTTGTAGCAATTTACACTGTTAGCATGGTGTATGAGAGTTCCGTTTCCCTCCCCCTTCCTTTTTTTGGGAATGACTTAACCAGTGACAAACCTAGTGAATTGTTTTCATTTTTAGGAAGAAGAATGGGATGTTATTGTGACCAGTTTGATGGTGTGATATGGAAAGTCAGAAAATTCATACACCTGTCACAATGATAGCTAACTTTTTTTTTTTTTGGCTGTGCTGGGTGGATTGTGGGATCTTAGTTCCCAGACCAGGGATTGAACCTGTGCCCTCTGCAGTGGAAGCACGGAGTCCTAACCACTGGACAGCCAGGGAATTCCTGATAGCTAACATTTATTGAGTCCATTTACAACATTTTATAAGCATTAACTCACTTAATTTTCACAAATTCTCTGTTCTTTAGATGAATATGACTTGGAAACCAAGGTACCTGCAGTTAAGTAACAGAGAGCCAGCAAGTGGCTATGCAGATTTGTTACTCTAGAGCCCAAACTCTTAGCCACAGCGCTGGATTGCCTATTTCCTGCACATGTTGTATGGCACTGGGGGTACTTTTTACATTCCTGATTTCTGTTTTGAAATAACCTAGCAGTTTCTTGGCGTGCATTAATTTATTAAGTAGGTGGGGCACAGATTTG